CCCCACGCCATCTACTCCTCAAAGGTCAGAGGTCACGATGTACACCTTGGTTTTCTAGAATCTCTGAAGGATTATAACTCTGAATATTTGTCCCTGCAGGGTATTGGAGAGCCCGTCCTCTTCCTGGGCAGTTCAGTGTTCTTTGCCATTAAAGACGCCGTGGCTGCAGCCCGCTCCGAGTCTGGTTTAGTCGGCCCCTTTCCCTTGGACAGCCCTGCGACACCAGAGAGGGCCTGTCTGGCTTGTTGCTCCCCGTTCACTCAGAAGGTAAAAATGCTGAAATACTTGTGTTCTTCTTGTTTTTTTGAGTTTTTTTAAGGCTCATCACAAGAATCCTTGAGCAGATTGGGACCTGGGAATTTTAGCAGAGCCCAGGTGATGTCCTCAAAGTGTATGTTTTATTCCACAAACGCTCCAAAAATCCACAGACGTTAAGGTTTTTATCGTGTATCACGATGAAAAGCATCAAATTGTCACATTTAAGATGCATGAAACCAGCAAAATACCAAAACGATTATTCGGTTATCAAAGGAGTTGCCAAATGTTTGCCAGCTCAAATGATTTTTTGTAGATATTACTGATGCTAGAAGTCATAAAAGTTTACTTAATACAGCGTGAAAGTAATTGTTGCCTTAACCCTTTGAACGCTGGAGCAACACCACTTTTTTTGTGCTGCTTTCAGAGGCCTTTTCAAGTGTTTACCACTTTGAGCCTTCAGCAAATTGGTGCGATTTCTTTCAGAAACATAGGGGAAAAGGAAATAAGCAACTAGATTTTCTTTTTTTTTTTTTTTAAATAAGCTCAGGAAGCTATTTTACATAATGTTACAGAATTATTGTAATTTTTAAGCATTTTTTTCCAGGTCAGGATTAACTTTCTTTATTTCTTTCCATTTTTTAAAAATTATTTTCTTGTTTTTAAATTTAATTTTTTTATTTTTAAATGTAGTTTTTAATTTCTTTTTTTTTCTTGCTATTTTTTTGATTCGTTTCTTCTTTCGTTGCTCATTGCCTTCTTATGTCTTTGAAAGAAACCAAGTCACTTTGCTGAGGTTTCAGTGGTTAAAGTATGTGTCTTCAGTGTCCGTTACAAAGCATATTAAAGTGATTGCTAATTAATTCATAATTTTTTATTGTTTTATTTTGTCTCCAGATTCCAGCCAGCAAACCAGGATCTTTCAAACCGTGGGCCTTAAACATCTAAAACTCAATCTCAGCTGTTTTTTGTTTGTTTGTTTTGCTTTTTTAATCAATTTTGGGAAAGTCATGGAAATTTTGTTGTGTAAAGAAATTGTCACAGTAATGTTGTTTTGCTAGTGCATCACTCTCTTCATGTATGGTAGCTACCTGAATTTATGTTTGACTAAAGTTTTAATCTGTTTATAATTATTTAAATGGAGTCTGGTGGGTTTGGTGATGGTGATTTCAGGGCTGTTTCTGGTTAAACAAAAAGGGTCTTACTCTTTAACAAAAGGTCTTTCTCTGCAGGGATCCTTTCATAATGTTGTTGGACATTTTTACTAACAATCTGAGCCTGTCAGTGACAAAAACACTTTAAGAGGATGTACACTGATGATGCAAGCATGCCGTTACCCTGCAGCCTGTTTCAGCAGCGCTCTCACTCAATACTGGAACTGTTTCAAAAATGAGTAGTAGCTTAGGTAGAAAAGAGGGTCCAGGTTTAAAGAATAATACCAAAGTTACCCTTTACTTCATATTTTCTTACGCTCTTGCTCTTATCCTACAGAATCACTGTTTCACCAATAGAAGAATAAATGATTGAGCAGTTATTGAATGCATTAAATAAACCCAGTGTTTCCTCTGTATTCATTCAGTCGCAGAACACAACCACAACAAACTCAACCATCACAGCATAGATATACTTTATTAATCCAGCAACAAAAATGACACACATGCAAAAACAGGACCTATGCAACTGTCTGGATCTGTCACATATCTATCAAAGATCCAGTGGTATACAATCGTCTGGATCTGTCACATATCTGTCAAAGATCCTGTGGTATACAATCGTCTTGATCTGTCACATATCTATCAAAGATCCGGTGGTATACAATCGTCTGGATCTGTCACATATCTATCAAAGATCCGGTGGTATACAATCGTCCGGATCCGTCACATATCCATCAAAGACCAAATGTTCGGACTTCACCGCGCTTGCAGACTATCAGACTTTGCGGGTGCATTCCTTGGAAGTCTAGGAGTGCTAAGGGCTGTCCAAATCCATACTACAGTTCATACGCACCATAAACTGGGACATACTAAATCTTTATCTGGCATTCTGAATAGTATGGTAGTATGGGTATTGGAACACGCAGAAGGTGTAGTGTACAACCAATAGAGGGCACTCAAGCAACAGTCTGGGCGAAGTGAACTCCGCTCTCCCAGGTGAAAGTCAGTGGTTACTGGATCCATCAACCACCATCCCTCCCGCCCTGCTTGGACTTTTGCTGCATTAACTCTCGTTCTTGTCTGACACCCCAAGTCCCTGTTCAAGCGTCCGATTTCGACGACTTCAGAGTGAGAACGGGTTGGTTAATTCCACTACGGAAGAGACTTGATGATCACTGAAATCAGGAAAGGAAAAAAGTGGATATATCGGTATCGGTCAAATGAGTTGTTGTATTTCAGGTATCAGCAAAAAATCGGAGTGACCTTGGGAACAAACAAAAAAGAACAAGCAAGCAAAGGAGAGGAAAGGCAAAGAAATTAAAACATATAATTACAGGATTAGAATAAAAAGAAGACAATAAAAGAAAAAACAAGTTCAACATTGAACTACACACCAAAGTAAGTACACACTCCATTGTGTGTTTCATTGAACAGCAGCAGCGGCCCTTAAAGAAAAGCTTAGTGAGCATCAGATGACTTCATATATGAACTTGGTTGTGTTTAAATAACCTCTTTGTTGTGATAACTGATCAGTGTGATGTGTGTGTGGCAGGTCACAAGGAGAGCCTCGGGACTCTTTACTGGTGCAGCCTGTTACTGATATTATATGACCGGCGAAAAACATCCTGAGAATGCTCTCAGAGAGCTCCTAATGTCGCCTAATGAATTCTAGAGACAGAAACTGAAACCCTAATGAGGAGGTGTGGTTAACTGCGTTACCAGAAGCAATGCATTCTTTTAAAAGGTGTGATTGGTTGTCCTATTGTGAGCAATAAATGGATTAAAAATTGGTTAATTAGCAGCTAATCCAGTACAGTTTGGAATTTGTAAATTGGTTTGATGTGACGATTAGATTTGATCTGTTTACTGAATATTTTCTGGCAAAGATAACAAATATACAGAATGAACACATATCTGCTGTTTTGGGATGCAAAGGTCATATTTTACATTACATTACATTAATCTTTCTTTTCTCTTCCCTTCATCTGTGCAAGTTTTGTCCTCCCGGGTCAGGTTTTTTGATCTGCCTTTGGGGAGAGGAGATTTGTTTTACTGCCAATATTACATCATTTATCACAGTTAGAAACTCTAAAAACAGAAATTATCATTGGATTCTCTGTTACGCTTCTGTCAGAATAAAAACATAACCAGATCTGAGCTTAAAATAGTCATATCTCATCTTTATTCTACATCTCATTTGAAGTTACACGAAAAATAAACCGCTTGCACAAACTAACCAGTAAATTAACCAGAGTAAATTAAAAAATAATAATAATGAAAAATGATCTGATAAATTTATGGTGGTTGTGCATTTGTCTGCCAGTCAGTCAGAAAAATATCTTTAGCTTTGGGAAGGGTCAAAATAAAAAATAAATTAAATTTACTTTTAACTTTCAAACATGAAGGGGTAAGTTTAAATAATTAAATAAAATAAAAATAAATAAAAAGAAAAAAAAAATATCTGTAATTCAAAGAAGGGTCACAATAAAAATTAATTATTAAAAGAATTAAATAAAAATAATAACAAAATAGAATAAATTAAATTAAATTATGTTTTTGTTTTGTTTTTTTTTTAAAAATGAAGTCACTGTCCTCTGATAATTAAGGAACAGTCCTTTAGTTGATGCAGCTGTGACCCAATACTTAAATCAATAAATCAAACTGCATTTTTTGAATTTTGAAATTTCCTGTTTCCTTGGATACGTCAAGCGTAAAGAAACATTTTGTCTTTGATTTTCAACTTTCAAACATGAAGGGGTAAGTTTAAGATAAATAATTAAATAAATATATATATATATTTTTAAAAAAGTAAAAATATCTGTAGTTCTAAGAAGGGTCAAAATAAAGATTAATTATTTAAAAAAATAAAATAGAATAAAAACAAAAAAATAGAATAAAATGAAATAAGATAAAAATTAAAATGAGATTAAATTAAATTAAATTATGTTTTTTTAAAAAAAAACGAGGTCACTCTCCAGCCACCCCCCTCCTTTATATGTGTATTTTGTATATATTTTATTGCCAAAATTAACCATTTATCACAGCCAGCAACTGTAAAAACAGAAATTATCGCTGGATTTTGAAATTTCTGATGTTCCTTGGACACATCAAGCATAAAGAAACATTTTGTCTGTGATTTGTAACTTTCAAACATGAAGGGGTAAGTTTAAGATAAATAATTAAATTTAAAAAATAAAAAATAAAAAAGGAAAAATATCTGTAGCTTTAGGAAGGGTTAAAATAAAATACATTATTAAAAGAATGAAATAAAATTAAAATTAAATAATTAAATTAAGTAAAACTGTTCTATCATTAGTGGCAAAAAGCCCAAAACAATAATTTAAATAAATAAATAAATGACGTCACACCCTCCTGCGATAAGTAGGGAACAGTCCCTTAGTTGACGCAGTTGTGACGTCATACTTAAATCAAACTGCGTTTTAACAGTAACAAATTAACGGAATAAATATGTAGTAATATAGCTGTAAAATGCCGCGCTATAAATACTGTATTTATCCTTAAAATCATCAAAGATAAAAAAATAAATACTATTTTTATTTTTTTGTGAATCGGAAAGCCCCTTTAAATCGCGCATGCGCAGCGGGCGGAGCCTGCGGAAGTCCTGACGGGAAGGTCTTTTTGTTTGGGCCGCTGAGAGAGTCGACAGTCTTACTTTGATTCCCCTGGTTACAACCGTTTTTTATCTGCATTAATTTCGGTGAGTACCCGCATTTCCACCTCCTCGGCGTCGCCTCGCAGCTGAACGTCACCGTAAAGACGCTGAAGTGTCGTGTTGGACAGCGAAAAACAACGTTATTGCTCGGAAATGTTGCCTTCACGGGCGCTGCTCCGGGGCGATTTTCCTGAAGTTAGCTTTAGCCTCTGTGTAGCTCACATACCTCAAGACTGCCTCGATGTTTGCTCAAAGTTTAGGGTGACATTTCGGCAGGATGTTGTGTGTTAAGGCAGAGCAGCATCTCGTGATTAGTTTCGGTGTGTAACTTTTGGGTTCATACCGTAAATTAAACAAATACGGTTAGCTAGCTAGCTAACGGGCCCGGCTAAGAGCGCAGGATCAGCGCATGGTGAGGGCCGGAGTTAGCTAATGCTAACCTACAATTAGCCGGCTGTAGTCTGGACAATCCCTCTTTATATCCGAGCTGCTGCTTCCCAAAAAACAACCAAAGTATTTCTGCTTCAGGTTCACACTTGTGGTGTAGTTTGTGACCATCCTGATTAATCACAGCCACCAACACGCGCCAGCTCCTTTGTACCACCTCGGACTGTCTTTTGTCTTCATTTGCGTTTGGAGGCTAATTGTTAAAACGCCCACGTGTATTTTGGCACTGGTGACAAAATCTGATTGTACACGAAGCCAACACTAACTTATATTGTTGTTGGTGTGTGTGTGTGTGTGTGTGTGTGTATTTAGACTATTTAAAATGACACTCAAGTAAATAAAAGCGCCTGATGTCCCAGCCATGGCATGCTGAAAACTAACGTGTAAAGAATAAAACTGGAGTTATTGTACATTTTATCACATGAAAAACAAACAATATGTGTCATCTTCACCCTGTCTGTGGCACTGTGACACAAGCCCATTGCTCTCTGTATTGGATGTCTCACACTTGCTCTTGTGAATTGATACCAAACCTTATTTTTAGGGTTTTTAATTTCTTCTGCTTTTAATTTTCCTGGGAACATACACTTTAAAAATCTTGACACGAGCCAACCTGCTTGTGATGTAAGTTCGCCTTGAATAGCAGAGGCAAGATATAGTGTAGTTTACGCCTCACAGGGACGACAAAAAACATCTATATTTATAAATTTCACAGGAGTTGTTGGAGGCAGCCATTTTGTTTTTCAAAATAGTTTTCAATTTAAATAAAATACTAACTTGTAAACTATAATTCTTGCTTCATTTTGATTTAGAAGTGCTGCAGAGTTGGCACGCCATGGTTGCGACACATCCAATAGCAGTATTATTTAATACATTTATTAATAATAAAATAGAAAGCTCACCAGTAGGTGAGCAGCATTCACACATTTTTGGAAACCAGGAAGTGAAGCAGGAGACTCTGGGATAACCACTTTATGCCTGATTAAATAATAAGCGTGCACAGTTGCATCGGCCATACTTTGCACCATGAATAAATATTACATACATTAAAAGTATTTTATTTCATGTCTCGTATGCATTATATGATTGTAATTCCACGACAGAAGAGGCTTGATGATCGCTAAAAATAAGTGGGGGAAAAAGTGGATATATCGATAATGGTTTTCGGCCAAATAAGTTGTTATATAGCGGCAAAAAAATCCAATATCGAGCATCCCTAATAATTTCGTAACAGTTATCGTGAGTAGCCATTTTATTTTTCAAAGTTGTTTAGAGTTCCTTTCAAGGGGTAGTGCACCTAAAAATGAAAATGAGGGAGGCTCAGGTGAAGTTTTAGAGTCCTCACATCACTTGCAGAGATCCAAGGGGAGAGGAGGTAGCAACACAACTCCACCTAATGGAGGCTGACGGCGCCCCAGATTCAAACGTCCAAAAACACATCATTGAAACCACAAAATATCTCCATACTGCTCGTCCGTAGTGATCCAAGTGTCCTGAAGCCCTGACATAAAAATTTTTATTATTTATGAGTTTATTACCAAAATGGAAAGTTTACCAGCACGTAAGCAGCATTCACACCTTTACAGAAACCAGGAAGTGAAGCAGGAGTCCTTTTGATATAGTTAAATCACGTTATACCTGATTAAATTATGTTGTGGAAATCTGAGGAAGCAGACGAAAGTCTAGGGCAAACTTTAAAGGGCCAACTTTTTCACAAAGATTTTGAAAACATGTTTTTTAAAAGTTAATAGTGGAGCAAGTTTAGAAGTTTAAAAAAGTCAAAGCAGATCGAGATATTATAAATTGTGTTTATTTTATGTTCACTGTAAATGCAAACGATTTGTTTGGGCTGCCTTGAATTTTTTTAGTTGACTGAATTTGAAAAGACATGTTGAATAATTACAGAATTACATCAACTTCTTAAATTCAGTCAACTTAAAATTTTAAGGCCGCCCAGACACTATCTGTTTCACATTAAAAAATAATAAGTTGTTTTTACTGTGTATATAAATCCTTGAAAATAATGTTTCACCCCAGAAATGTAATGAGTGCGTCGATAAGTTATAATTTTAAGGATGTTCTTGAAGAGACATGTCACCCAGTGTGACACGTGTAATCATTTTGGGACAACAATGGAGCTCTGCACAGACGATACTAATTACAGGCGTCAATCATTTTGTTGGTGTTGGTCTTTTCACGTGATATTTTTCTGTCAGTATCAGCGGCTCAGGTACATATTCAGCCACAAGCTTCAAGTGTTGTCGTCAGACTTGTTGCTCACCCAAGTCGACCCAAACCCTGGCAGCACAAAACATAATTACAGGGAGCACCGTGTACTGTTGAGCTGCCTGAACGTGTCTGCACAGCTTGAATAAACATTAACTGTCTGTGTTTTGTCCTTTTTGTCAGGGTGTCTTTTATGAGTAATCAAAAGCAGCAAAAGCCAACGCTAACAGGCCAGCGTTTCAAAACGAGGAAAAGAGGTTTGTGTTTATCGCTGCCGTTGGTGCAGCTTTGTGGTTTCTGCTTTGCATGTCTAACAACATCCAAATCTTGATTTTTGGGAGTGTTTTTGTTCCGAGTCCAACATGTGTGTGTTTCTCCACAGATGAAAAGGAGAGGTTTGACCCTACTCAGTTTCAAGAAAGTATCGTACAAGGCTTGAATCAAACTGGCACTGATTTGGAAGCGGTTGCGAAGTTCCTTGATGCCTCTGGCGCTAAGCTTGACTACCGCCGATATGCAGAGACACTCTTTGACATCCTGGTGGCCGGTGGAATGCTGGGTGAGTTGCGCCGGGAGACACATTATTCACGTGTGCATGTTTTTCCCCTCAAGCCTCGACATTCACGCAAATCATAGCTTGTTTCTAATCGAGCACAGACGTGATACGTTTGCTAGCAGGTGTACCTGAAGTGCTCTTGGCATGCATTTTGGATTATTGTGCAATATAAATGTCAGGGAAACATTTGTGTGTGAACGAACACTAGCAGGAAGTAGACGATCCCAGTTTTAAAGCAGGAAGCTCCTGTGTTGACTTGTATTTGTATCCTCTCCCCTGCAGCCCCAGGCGGGACTCTATCTGACGACATGACCCGCACCGAGTTCTGCCTCTTCACGGCACAAGAAGACCTGGAGACAATGCAAGCATACGCTCAGGTACAAATCATTTTTGTACCTGGTTTAAAAGCACTTATTAAATATCAGCCATCAGTGATCCATGACTGATGCAACCGTCTTTCTTCAGTACAGATATGACAAAAGCAAATCCTAACTGAGCGTGTTTTTCTCCCCCTCAAAAACAGGTTTTTAACAAGCTGATCAGGCGTTACAAGTACCTGGAGAAGGGTTTCGAAGAGGAGATCAAGAAGGTGAGGGCTTTTTTACAGGCTAGGACTAGTATGTGAAAACAACTTTTAACTTCTTGTGCTGGTTGGACACGTCTCTAAAATGGGGTGTGTGTCATATTTGGCCCTGATCGGACAGAGTGCGTTTTAGCAGCCTCGGGCAGCTTTTTTGCAGAGACAACCTGAACACCTCCAGCAGAAAAAATCTCCAACTCAAAGTGGAAAAAGAGCCCAGTTATTGGTGTGTTTCCAAATGTACAGTCAGACGAATTGAGAGGCAGGGCTGCAAGACATCGCCTCAGTTACTTTATAATGTTTACCAACCATAATTAGGCCCAGATTGTTAAACTGTCCTCGACTCATAAAATACGCTAACAGTCACCCAAGATGTGACGTCTCATTCTGAGGGTCTCATGCACCCACATAGATCTTCGTTTCCCTCTCACCCTCAGTCAGAACCACAGCAGATACTCCCTGCTTGTCAATTCTTGTGCAGATTGTAAGGTACAGATCTGTGATTTGGGCGGTTAAGCTTTTGAGGACAGGTGAGTCGGTGGTTACCTTGCAACAGTTGTGAAAAGATGCAGCAAAAAGCACTTTGTATGATTGTGTTAGGCTTCAACAAATGAAGGCAGTGCGGTTCGCCTCGCGTTCGCTCTGTCCAGGCCCTCCGGGATAAAGCAATGGCAACAATAACGCAAATTCAGCCCAGCTGTTATTAACAGGTTTAATGGAGTCGAGCCAGTTTGGTGTCGGATGTTGACCACTCTCGCAGGAAAACCTGACAAGTAGGGATGAGATCACGTTGTGCTGTGTTGGCTTGTGCTAACCGGGCAGGACAGCGGCTCACAGAGACGATCCTTAAGCGCTGCGTCGAACGTCGGGAATCAACGGGGGGCAGCAATCAATTACAAAAAGGCACCTCCAGCTGCTAAAATGCTGGAGTGACTGTTTGTCTGTTTAATGTGCAGTAAACTAAATTTTTCTGTGTAACGTAATTTTTGTCATTATCAGCAGTTAAATGTTTTAATCTTCTGTTAATGTAACAAAGACGTGCTTTGTGAAATAGATAATTTCCCAGCTGTGAAACAGTGAAGTTGAAGCTAAAGCCCACAGGGTGGTAGACGCTATGAATTTGCCTCTAATCTGTATTTGTGTTTTCTTCTTGTCTTCTGCAGTTGCTGCTGTTTCTAAAGGGGTTCACTGAGTCTGAGCGCAACAAACTGGCCATGCTGACCGGCATCCTGCTGGCCAACGGCAACATATCAGCCTCCATCCTTAACAGCCTCTTCAACGAGAACCTCGTCAAAGAGGGTGAGCCAGAACGCTTGAGATCATCCTACCAAAATGTCACTGCTGGGTTTGTATTCAGTGAGAGTGCAACATGAACCCAGCTAGTCTTATCTTGTTTGTGTTTAGGAGTATCTGCAGCCTTCGCTGTCAAGCTGTTCAAGTCATGGATCAATGAGAAGGACATCAACTCTGTTGCTGCCAGTCTCCGCAAAGTCGGCATGGACAACAGGCTGATGGTACGTAAACCGTTTGTACATAGTTACTCCAGAGTTTCATCCAGGTCTTGTATTCACGTCCTCTAATATGACAACATCTGCGCCCCACAGGAACTCTTTCCTGCCAACAAACGGAGCTGCGAGCATTTTTCTAAGTACTTCACCGACGCCGGGCTGAAGGAGCTGTCAGACTTCGCCCGCAACCAGCAATCCATCGGCGCCCGCAAGGAGCTGCAGAAGGAGCTCCAGGAGCAGATGTCCCGCGGTGACCCTCAGAAGGAGGTGAGGTTAATGTTTGGGTTGACCACTTCCTCTTTTCTCTGGGATTGGAAAACAAAGACACAGCTGCACTGCTGCGTTTTCAAATTGGTCTTGGCTGAAAATGAGCCTGTCACATGTCAGTCGGTGCAGGTGAAGGTCTGAATGTCATTGTTCCTCTTTGGTAACAGCTGTCTGTGCTTTGCAAACGTCCTCAATATTGACCCCCCTGTTGTCATGTTGCATAATGTCAGTGTTTGTGACTGACGCAGTAACTACAAAACAGTCCAGTAACAACAACGGCGGCGACACAATGAATCACAAAGTTGAAAACAAATTAGCAGCTTGTCGGTGTTACTGGAGACTGTCACTGCCTCAACTACAACTGCAGTATTTTCTAACCCAGCTGTGTCTCTCTCCACGTCGGCTCAGATTATCGCCTTCACCAAAGAGGAGATGAAAAAGGCCAACCTCTCCGAGCAGGCCATGATCTGCATCATCTGGACCAGCGTGATGAGCTCCGTGGAGTGGAACAAGAAGGAAGAGCTGGTGACCGAACAAGCCATCAAACACTTGAAGGTATGCCGCACTGCTGAGCTGTTTATATGCACGTCCTGGAAGTGGTTTAAATGTCCTGAATGCAGTTAAATAAAGCACTGAAATGGAGTAAACCATCAGACACAGTTGATAAAACAAAAGTGAAAATATGCTCATGTGTTGATTCACAAGGAGTGGGTAATAAATTGTGCGCCTTGGCACAGTGACTGCAGGTTCTGGCATGATTGAGAGTGAAATACACAGTTTGTCTTGGCAGTACATTAGCTCTGTTCCCTTTTTCATTTATTTACTTTATTTTACTGACACATTAAAGGTCCTGCAGATGTTTTGTTTAACTTTGGAATTGTTGAAAGCTGAAAGAAATATCTAAATAGTCTATGACCGAGTAGTTTGGTCTTTTCTGTTTAAAAAAAAAATTAAAAAAAATAGTCAAGTCAAATTTATTTATAAAGCACATTTAAAAACAACCCAAGTTGACCAAAGTTCCAGAGTCTGGGTCCTGAGTTTAAAATAAGTGCGTGGAACAGTTAAAAGTCCTAGGTTAGCCGACCTGAGGGGTCTGGAGGTGGAGTATGGGGTTAAAAGTTCTGTCATGTAGGAAGGGGCCACTCCATTCAGGGCTTTGTACGTGAATAAAAGTTTAAAATCAATATGGTACTGCAGTGGCAGCCAGTGGAGAGAGGCTAGAAACTGAGGAATGGTTTAAATTTTGCGATGGTGCAAAGTTGAAACTGGCTTTGACTACTGAGTTGAGCTGTTTATCAAACTTAAGTGCAGAATCGAAAATGACATCGAGGTTTTTGACGTGAGGTTTGATAAGAATGGACAGGTTGCCAAGACTGTTGGATATCAGGTTGACGTTGTCAGAGGGGCCAAAGAGAATAATTTCGGATTTAGCTTCATTTAGTTGAAGGAAGTTTACTGCCATCCTGGACTTTATTTCATTGATGCAGTTGAAGATATTGGTGAGTTTGGATTGAGGGGAAGATAGAGCTGGGTGTCATCAGCATAGCAGTGGAAAGAGATGTCATATTTTTGAATGATTTGACCGAGGGGAAGCATGTAGATGGAGAAAAGAATGGGACCTAGGATGGAACCTTGCGGGACTCCGCAAGAGAGAGTAGCTGGGGGAGAGGAGTGTGTGCCTATGTTTACGGAAAAGGTTCTATTGTTGAGGTAGGATGTGAACCAGTCTGTATTTATGGGAACACCCACAAAACATCAGTCTTTTATGCCAAGGGGAAGAACATGCTCTCTGCACGTCAAATGAACTTTAAAATAATGGGAAAATAATGGGAAAGGCAGCAATTAGCATTCACTCCCGGGTCGCATATCTAGGCGGTCGTCATGGTTATGTATCGGCACTAAGATCACACAGTGAGTCTGCATCGTTAAACGAGCACCTTCCAAGCTATGGAAAATGAGAAAATGTAGGTGAAAAGATGAAAAGCGTAAAAGAATTACACCAATTACTTGAGGTGATTAAAGCCAGGGCCTGGAAATGTTTAGGAAGCAAACTGCTCCGAATGTCGAAGGTGTTTGTAGCGTGGTAAAACGGGGATCAGGGTGGTGGAGCCACAAGCACAGACGGTATCGTCAGGGTCATTTTTACTGATCGTTGTGAACTGACATCAATGTGTTTACTTGGGAAGAGTATATTTTCACTTCTGGTTTGAATTTCCATCATTGTCTTGTTCGTACCTGTTTTACTATATACCTTATCGGCCTGTTGGAGCCTGAGTGACTGGATTTAGGAGGACTCGTATCAAACTTATTTCATTCCAGTCTGTTTGACGCTGAAGTAGCAGAGCTCAGTGTTGAGGGCTTGTGGGAAGTTTTCTTACATCACAAGTGTTTGTACTGTTGACGTGATTGTCACTGAAGATGTGAAGCAGCAAGCAGAGACAGGAACAAGAACAACCAAACCCTCAAACAAACTGTAGTCGTGTGAAGGGCTGCTTGATCCTCCTCTTAATCAGCACCAACAAGCTTTTACGACATGTCTCCCCATTTCCGCAGCAATACAGCCTTCTGCTGAAAGCCTTCACCTCCCAGGGTCTGTCCGAGCTCAGCCTGCTGCTGAAGATCCAGGAGTACTGCTACGACAACATCCACTTCATGAAGGCCTTTCAGAAGATCGTGGTGCTCCTCTACAAAGGTCGGTGTGGCGTCCGTGCCCAGTAATCTCACGCCAACCATCCACTGACAGTGTCTGGTTTTGTTTTGACACTCTGCTTCTCCCGTAACAGCGGACGTATTGAGTGAAGAGGCCATACTGAAGTGGTACACCGATGCCCACGTTGCCAAGGGGAAGAGCGTTTTCCTCGAGCAGATGAAGAAATTCGTCGAGTGGCTGAAGAACGCCGAGGAAGGTAAAAAAAACAACACCCCCCCCGTTCACCCTGAGGCAGCGAACCTCTCACGGCAGATGTTTCTGACATGTCGTAGCAGGAAGGATGTTCATCATCATCATGACTGATCTTACCCGCGTTTTCTCTCTGCAGAGTCGGAGTCAGACGAAGAGGAGACGGACTAAATCCACCGCCAGATGAGCTTTTCTTACCCCTCCCTTTTTCTTTTTTCAATAAGTAGCAGCAGGAGCAGTAGAATGTCTTTTTCCCGTCTTTCTCTTCTACCTCCTGTTACTTCTTTTCCCCCAAACACACACACACACACCCTTCCACCACTCCAAAACATAATTTAAACGATAAAAAAAAAAAAGGGCTCAGTCCTTTCTCGTAACATGTTTGGGTGTCGCGAAAACGATGAATACTCCCCCTCTTCTTTTTTTTTTAGTTTTTTTTTTTATTATTATTGTTGTACTTCCTGCTGTAATTTGGATACAAAACATTCCACGTGATCTCGATGGCCGCTGCTCGTTAAATCAGAAACAGGATTCGAGTTTTTGCCAGGCCGATGAAAATGCAGTTTTGCCAACATTTTTTTTTTTTTCTTCTTCTCCCCTTTTTGACTTTTTTTTAAAAATTCTGCCCAGCTCATGTTTTGGCTCTTGTCGGGTCTTAAACTTCGCCTCCTTTCTTGACTTTCGGGTAAACATGTACCGCGTGTCTAGATCACTCTGGTCAGTCCGTCGGGAGACACGCCCCCCTGTAAGATGCCTCGCCAGCTAACTGATTATTATTGGTTTCTACTTTCTTTAATCTGATATAAACCGATTGACTTTTTTATGAAAATAAAGATTATTGAAATGGTACAAATGTCTTCTTCTGCTATTTTTTAAAGTGTTTGCTTCCCAACTTCACTCTTCATCGTGATGCAAGACTTAAAGACTATCATATTTCTTGTTGTGTGGGAATTAAGTGCATTAAACAAACTCTTTAATGCTCTAAAGCGGGATTTATACTTACGCGGCAGACCCTACGCAGTTGTCAGCATTTATAAGTTGATTTTAAACACACATTAAACACACATTAAACATGGCTTAATAGAGACAGTTTCAAACACAAATCAGCTTCACTATAACTCGCAGCATTCACAGACAAACACTTGTCTTTATCTGGACACATTTTCCCCACAAATACAACATGCTAACGTTATTAGCACAAGCCTATGGTATTTTACATTGTATAAATTAGCCTACCAGCTAGCGGACTTTTCCTCTACTCATATAAAACCAGAGACAACAGAAACATTTAACAAAGGTAACGGTACATAATTTGTCTCCATTACAACTCACAAGGTTCACTGACAAAACAACTGTCTGATACTAAACACGTTTTCCAAGCAAATACAACATGCTAACGTTATTAGCACAAGCCTATGGCATTTTACATTGTATAAATTAGCCTAGCAGCTAGCAAACTTTTTAGGGACAACAGCAACATTTAACAAAGGTGACGTTACATAATTTGGCTCCATTACAACTCACAAGGTTCACTGACAAAACAACTGTCTTATACTAAACACGTTTTCCAAATAAATACAACATGCTAACGTTATTAGCGCAAGCCTACGACACTTTAAATTGTATAAATTAGCCTAGCAGCTAGCAGAGATTTCCTCTGCTCATATTTCAGCCAGGATAAATCACACACAGTGTGTGGAGGCTTTATTGTCTTCACAATTTATTGTTTCTTATCTGTGAAATTAAAGTAAATCAAAGCTTTGTTTCTACTGAGGGAAATGGTTTCAGCTTACAGACAGACAGGAGGTCTGCGTCACTGTGACGTGTAGTTATGTCTGGGGAGGTGCACGCTCGTAGCTACAGTGTCGATTCAACACAGAAGTCTGCATAACTTAAAAAATTACTTTACTAAAAGAGAAACTTTTTTGAAAATATGTCACCGCAAACTGAAGATAAAAGATCCAAACTTTATATTTTGGCACTTAAAACCCACTTGTGATATATCTGTACCACACAAATGTGAGGAAAAACTGTTTTCTGGTGTGAAAGGATTGTAATGGAGAAAAATGTCATGAAATCTGAAACACATTTCTGCCAGAAAAAAGGAGAAAATTGGCATTTAACCAAATAAAACTACGGCTTTATGTCCAACGTATGATTCATAATTATTTAGTGAATTAAAGTGTGTATGTACGGTTAATAACTGTTATAATTTTGACTTGAAGGAATACTTCAACCCCCCAAATGACATGCTGCGACTCCCCACTCTTCCCTCTCCCAAGGAATGCTAGTTAGTATTTTAACAGAAACAAATGTGAAACAAAAGTCAAATTTCTAAACTCCTACCATACGAACATGGTGATGCCAAACACAAAGGGCTTCTCACTCCTGCCAGATGTGATATATAATCCCTCCAGCGTGTTCTGGGTCTGCCCCGGGGCCTCCTACCAGTGCCTGGAACATCTCCAACAGGAGGATCCTGATCAGATGTTGGAGATGTTCCAGGCACTGGTACTCTAAGGCTGGGCCCAGACCCTGAATGGAGGGAACTCATTTCGACCACTTGTATCCAGGATCGTCCAAGAATCGGCACCTTAATGTGGTCCCCGTGATCCTGGGAGCTGTGTTGTCCGGGGCTAACAGCCCCTGGTAGGGTCTCCCATGGCAAAGTGGTCCCAGGGGAGGGACCAGACCAAGGGCGATTCAAGAAGACGTTGATGAAACGGCATATTCGGACTTTGAGGACCTCGGGAGGAAACTCAGCTGATATAGTTTTGGTGTTGTTGAATGTGGACCCCTGTGACTTCAATTCGTCAAGGCTTTCCTCAGTTCTTGGATTCTCCACAAATTCAAAGTAACATGGGGTGAGTACTTGAATTAGAAATGAACATTTGGGGGGTGAAGTGTTCCTCTTTTCTTCTAATAGCGACAACAAGCTTCCTCAACAAGCTTGTGGTCCTTAAAACCTTTTAGTATCCTGAGTTTTACGCCGATTTCAACGTCCTGAATCTCAGCAACTTTTCCAACACAAGAAAAACCAGTTGGATTTTCTCTCACTTTTATTTGTATTGTACAAAAATACATTTCTCTTCAAGCAGCTTCTCAGTATCTGCGATGTGCAAAGGACACAATAGTCAGGCATTCAAGTACATTTTCTACAGTCATGTCACACATTAGATTTAGAGGTAGGCCTTCATATTGAAAACAGGTCTGAGGTAGTGTGCAACGTTTTCATCCATATGTGCTGTATAGTCAATATCAAGGGATCCAGCTGATTGTAGAAGGATTATGTGTGTTTTCCAGATTAGTGCACAAGGTAGCCTAATGCACTGCGTGTGCCGCGTGCACACACTACGTCACAGTTTCATGCTTTTTTAAAGTGATACAGAGATTGTGCAACAATGCAAAAGTAAACATTTCACCACACTGCAAATAAATTCATCAGAACAGTTTGGATTCAGGCCCAAAGACAGACAAAGGGTGATAGTTACATTGTATTCACATCAAGTGCGTTTGAACGCTAGAATATTTTGTGTTGACTCGCGTCATATGCATGTAAAATCGCTGAATCCATGAATGAACTTCCGCCGATACGTCCTCGGAATCATGCGTCCCTGGATTCACAAATTGGGTGTCGAAGTTCAGATTTTTCAACTCTCGCGACGTGAAATCGCGCTACTCTCTTCACGACTCACGTCACGTCCATCACCACCCGACAGAAAGTCGCATCTAATCGCGTCTTCACATTGACTTTACATGTGATTAACTCACGCAAATTGTTCTATTCGCCCCCAATGTGAACACATTAAAGATCTAGTGTGGCGGATTTAATGACATCTAGTGTTGAAGTTTCAGATTGCAACCGACCGAAACTTCTCCAGTGTGCCAAGCGTTGCCAGTTGCCGATACAAAAACACGAATGGCCCTATCTAGAGTCAGTGTTTGATTTGTCCGTTCTGGGCTACTGTAGAAACAACATGGAGGGCCTGCTACGTTTGTAGCTATCAACAGCTCATGCAGTTAGTTTCAGTTGATCACAAACTAATGAAAGCATAGTTGTGAATGTTCCATTTCTGCCAATATACCCCTTGAATCCTCCACACTGGACCTTTTAAAGTAGTGTCCCATTCAGACTGATAATTTTCCAATTGCATCTTAAAATTTTGAGACAAGCTTTGACGCTTAAGGCCCTGACACACCAAGCCAATGGTTGGCCGTCGGTGAGCGTCTAGTTTTTGCAGTGTGTCCCGCACCATTGGCACTTTGGTGTCGGCGACTTTTCGGCCGATTGAGCATGTTGAATCGGTGGCGGAGCTTGTCGGTGAGAGAGATCACTCTGATTGGCTGTTCAGGTTTTATTTCCTCGCCCCTGTAGCGAGTGAATCTGCCTGTAGTGAAACCGGGGCTAACCGGTGCTTCCTCCTCAGGCTCCACTTCACTCAGCTGCCCCACAGACCCGCTGCTTCTTCACACTTTGGGAAGAAGCAGCAGGCTGCATTAAGGCATTAAGGCGCAGAACATACGTGCTACTTGGCTGTCGGATGTAGTCCGTGTAGTGTGTTCAACTGACACAGGGCGACGTGAGGCGACGTAGACAATGCAACAGTTGGCTTTTGTCGCCGCTAGTTCTTTGATGTCGGTTTGGTGTGTCCGCACCTTAAAGGGCAGCGCTTCAGGTTAAAACTTTCCTCAGTCACCATTATAGAAATCCCAAATGCCTGATTTCCTCCAGTGCCTCAAGGCAGCAATCTTTTCTTTAAAAGAAATATCAGGCCTTGATTAATGTCGTCGAAATCCAGTCAAATGGCTCTGATCCCAAACATGCGTCTCTCCAACAAATAAAAACCAACCAGGGCAACATTTTTACATGATCAAGCATTATTTCCCTGATTTCGTCAAAGCAAGCAAAACACTGTGCTGTCTTTTTAGATTTACAACCACCTGAGATATGCTCATGTTTTCGGCTCGAGTTGAAAAATGTTGAACTACGTGTCAATTTGTGCATCTAGTGTGAGTCATTTTATGAACTCTACATGCAACCAGGTGTCTAAAATTCACCCTGATTTCAAGGTTGAATGTCCCAAAAAAGACAACCAGTTCAACGTAACAGTGTGAGTCAGCTCGACAGAAACAAAAATTTGTTGTTACGTTACGAAAAATCCTGCGACCACTTGGGTAAAATCAAAGGTAGCCAAAGATTGTACCTAGAATGCACCCAAACTGCAAACTTGCAGGGTACGGTACAAAGTCATATGCGTATATTTCGGGGGACGCGGGGGACATTTCTCCCTCAATATTTAGAACGTGCATTTGTCCCCCCACAATAAGAATATAAAAGTAGCAGAGAACTTTGATTTTGACGAAATAAATTGATGCAGAAAAGGCAAAAACTGATGCAAAAAAAAAAAAAATTCACCAGGAAATTCGGTGTCTGACGCTCAAAATTTCACAGTCGGAGGACCCCAAGCCCCAAAGTGTCATATGTCGCCCCCTAGTGGTGAAACAAACCCTTGTTTAAAACGTTCTGACTCCTGAGACGTTGATTTGTAATGTTTCAAACATGCGTGAAACAAACGCTACGGGACGTAGAGGAGCTCAGTTCTGTCAGCGTAGTTGCAGTTCCTACACTCACCACTAGAGTCAACAGCTCAGTTAATGATCCTTTCAAGTGCCCCCAAATAATCGCGACATGTCTGACGGCACCTGAAAGCAGCATTAACTCCACTGAACTGACAGCAACCGCTGCAGAAACTGCTCTTCACTTTCCTTCATGTGACTGAAGGCGACAAGGCTTTTTTTTAGGAGTGGGGCACGGGGGTGGAGGGGGAGTAGTTTGTACTATTGGCGGGACCAAAATAGCCCCCCGTCAGGTGCAGCTTTACACATCGGCTCAGGTTACAGCTCAACCAAAACACAGACGTCCAGAAGCACCAGTGTGAACAGAAAGTGCTTTTCAGTGTTAATATCTTTTTGTTTTTCCTAGTCTAATCCAAAAAATAAATATATTTATAGAGTATGTACAAAGTCCTGCAGGTGTACGTGTAAACAACATCATGGTGGACGCCCCCCGTCTGTCCGGAGCCGCTTCGCTTCACACTGCAGCTGAGTGCTTCCCTCCATCTCTGAGCTGTGGAGGCAGAGAAATCAGTTTTATCACAAACACAGTTCAGTAAACACACCGTGACATTTATACTATTAACACTTTCCTTTTTTCTTTTTTTTTTAGGTCTCCTGTTATTTACAATTCATTATTAGTACAAAATTTTCTTAAATTTTATTTTTGCTTGTCTGTGTTTAAAGTCTGAATTTTTTGCAACAGTAATTATTAATAATTATTTTAGGGTTACTGTAATTTACAAATCACTATTAGTACAAAAAACGTATTCCTTTATTTTATTTTATTTTATTTCTTATTTTATCTGTATTTAAAGTCTGATTTATTTTGCAATAATAATAATTAATTATTTAAGGTTTACAGTTATTTACAACTCACTATTAGTAAAAGATACATTTTATTATTTATTTTTCAATCTGTATTTGAAGTCTAATATATTTTGCAATAATAATTGTTAATAATTATTTAAGGTTTACTGCTATTTTCAACTGCTACAACTATTTGTACAAAAAAATAAATTTTATTACTTTAACTTATTTTTATTTTTACATCTGTATTTAAATTGATTTTATTTTTTATTATTTTTTATCTTTAAATCTGTATTTAAAGCCTTTATTTTGCAATAATTATTATTATTAATTATTTAAGGTTTACTGTTACTTACAACTCATTATTCGTACAAAAAAAAATCATAAATTGTATTACTTTTATTTTTTTATTATTTTTACATCTGTATTTAAATTTATTTTATTTTATTTTTTTAATCTTTATATCAAAAATCCTTATTTTGCAATAATAATTATGAATAATTATTTAAGGTTTACTGTTATTTACAACTCATTATTAGTACAAAAAATTCATAAAGTTTATTTTATTTTTTATTATTTTTTATCTTTATATCTATTTAAAATCAAATTTATTTTGCAATAATTATTATTAATAATTATTTAAGATTTGCAGCTATTTACAACTCATTATTAGTAAAAAGAAAATCATAAATTTCAGGTTAATATGTGTCAAAAATGTGAAATTATGCCTATAAATTTGTATCTGTTATTTAAGATTTTATGAGACAGATAAATAAATTGCAGAGCACCAGTAAAAATACAGTTTGACATGAAGATAATAGTGACATAATGTCACTGATCTGGTGCCAGTCTAATTAATAACTGCAACATGTGAGGCCAAACTACTGTTAACACTTTAACCCACTAACACACGTGTTTATTTAGGATCGAAATGACTGTTTACTGCGTGGAAATCATCAGTATCGCTTAATATTCTTAATATTAAATCATGTTTTGAGGATCTGCAGCAGTTTTCCATCACTAAGGTGATTTTTAGTTTCTTTCTGGAACCTTATTTTTTTGTTGTGGCACTCAGTTGCACCCAAGTGTCGAACTCTTCCCATCATCATTAGTCAGAAGTCAAACAGCAGCATCTCGTTATATTTTGGATCCGGTCTACAGAGGAGGATCTGGTGTCAATCACTGATTTGAAACCTTTAAAGGCACCAGCTTGTTTTCACTTTGTCTTGTCAATCACTGCAGAAACAGCTGTTGGTCAACCCGTCACCTTTGAACCGCGCAAACTCAGCACCACTAAGTCTATTTCCAATGCACAGAGGATGCGTCCTGCACAGGTGCCATTACCCGCTCTGCCTTTGACAGTGCCACATTAGATCTGGAGCTGATATTCACCTTTGTGCGTGTGCGTAAAAGTTTGTTTTTACGCACAGGTGCGCCACTCACCAGTTTCCTCTGGTTGCTGAGGCAGAAGGTGCAAATGGGCCGCAGCGAGGGCGCGCTGAGCGCCGCGGTGCCGTGCAGGATGCTCTGGTACCCGAGGCAGGGCTGTCCGTCCCGGCAGTTGTCCCCCAGCAGCAGCACGTTGGCCAGGTGCGAGATGTAGCTGGAGGCCAGGCGCAGCGTCTCGATCTTGGAGAGCTTCCTGTCGGCGGGCTCGGTGGGGATGAGCGTGCGGAGCGCCGTGAAGGCCGTGTTCACGCTGTGCGTCCTGTCCCGCTCCCGCGCGTTGGCCGCCTGCCTCTGTTTACTCACACCGGCGAGACACGCGCCTCCTCCACCTCCACATCCACCGTCTCCGCCGCTGCTGCTGCGTCTCCGCCGTCTCCTGCGTCTCGGCGCACCGGCACGGGAACCACCTCCACCTCCTCCTCCTCCTCCTCCACCTCCACCTCCACCCACCGCCTCCTGCCCCGGCTCTCTGCGGGGGCTGCAGTCCCCGGTGGACTTCCCGCCGCTGCTGTCGCTGCCGCTGTCCAGGTCGTCCAGGTCTGAGGTGAAGCCGTCGGGCTGCGCGCTGCGCTCGCTGCCAGTGGACTTCATCCTGGCTGTGCTGTGGTGAGACTGGAGCTGCTGGGGCCGTGCGGGCGGGCGGCGGCTGCACATCACTTTATCCTGAGGGTGAAAATAGCACCGGGGGGCCGAGCAGCTGCCGCCGATCCGGTGACCGAGGGGGTCTGCGCCGTCCGGCCCCCCGGCGGATCAGCATACCATTGCTAATGAATGACGGCTGCTTTCTGGGTCGCCAGCCCGCCGCGGAAAAGGGAAGACAGGTGGAGCCTAAAGGGAGGGGGGAGGGGGGGGCACCTGTTGTGGTCCAGAGGATACAGGTTTAATTTAGGCTCGACCTACCAGGGCTGCCCTCGAGACCGATACAGTGATTTTAGATCAACAATACCGATATGTTGGCCGATATTCAAAGTTTAACAACAAACAAATCCTGTTTATGTCATTGAGCCTCAGTGGTTCTGCATCATGTGCTGCAAGGCCGTATCCATGGAGACAAGAATGGGGGGGGGGGGGGGGGGTCCCTCTTTTAAATTTTTTATATTTAAAAAAAAAAAACCCTTACATTTTGGTTAAGTCAAAGAAAAGAAAAAAATAATTTAATTTCATTTTAAAAAAAATAAGGAAATATAAATAAATTTCACATTATTTGCCTCCTATTTTTTATATATTTATTTTAAGTTGTTTTGATTTAGTATGAACATCACAACCTATTCCCTAAAAAACCCTTACATTTTACTTTTTAAAGTAAAATAGTAAAAGTAAAATTTAATTATTATTATTTAATTTTAAAGAAAATAATAATTTGAAAAATAAATTTCACATTATTTTGCTTTTTATTTTTTTTTTAATATTTTATTTTATAAGTAATTTTGATTTATCATGAACATCACAACCTCTTCCCTCCACACAGAACAAAAAACAATATAAAGAACAGATCTCACAAAAACAGCAAAGTTTATTTCATTTTTTTAATAAGTCGTATTTTCATCTGAATGGAAAGCATTGGCATTTTGCGGGGACGCAAGGGTAACATGAAAACATGAAAGTATTGGAGGACATTCAGTTTGACAAAATTAAAGACACTGACACCATGAACTGATGAAGAAAAGACAGATATTGGTTCATAAAGATTCAACAGACTGTGGAAAATACAGTGTTTGATGCTCAAAATTCTCTGACAGAGCTGAAATCCCCCATTTCATCGTGTGTCTCTTTGTAGGTGTTTGGGTCTGTTTATTTGTTTACTTGGATCCCCATTCGTCACTACGAGGGTTGCAACTACTCTTCCTGGGGTCCACACAAGGAAAACATGACTTCATAGAGTAAAATAAATGTCTGATTAAAAAATCCGTGGCAAAAACAAATAAAATACAACCAGAAAACTACAAAACAAAAATGAAAAACAAACAAAACAAAACGACAACAAACTGACAAAACCAATAGATTAAACGCAAAACAGTCAGAAATTGTCAGGAAAAAAAATAATAATTTGAAGTAACTTTGTAACTACTGTTGTTGTTTTGTTGCTTTGTAGCCATTTTGTGTATCTTTGTGATTGTTTTCTGTCTTGTAGATGTTTGAGTCTCTCTGAGTAATTTTGCGTCATTGAGGAAACTTTTATTGGTGGTTTTATTGGTCTGTAGTCAATGTTTGTCTCTTTGTGGTTGTTTTGTGTCTCTTTGTAGCTACTTTGTGTCTCTTTGTGGTTGTTTTGTGTATCTTTGTAGCTACTTTGTGTCTCTTTGTGGTTGTTTTGTGTATCTTTGTAGCTACTTTGTGTCTCTTTGTGGTTGTTTTGTGTCTCTTTGTAGCTACTTTGTGTCTCTTTGTGGTTGTTTTGTGTATCTTTGTAGCCACGTAGTGTCTTGTTGTGTTTTGTGTTGGTTTGTAGTTCTGAGGGTCTTAGTTTGTGTCTCGTTAAGATACGTTTGTTGGTTGTTTTTTGTTGCTTTGTGGTCATTGTATGTGTCTTTGTGGTTGTTTTCTGTCTCTTTGTAGTTTTTTGGGTTCTTTGGGGTAATTTTGTGTATAATCACGNTTAATTTCATTTTAAAAAAAATAAGGAAATATAAATAAATTTCACATTATTTGCCTCCTATTTTTTATATATTTATTTTAAGTTGTTTTGATTTAGTATGAACATCACAACCTATTCCCTAAAAAACCCTTACATTTTACTTTTTAAAGTAAAATAGTAAAAGTAAAATTTAATTATTATTATTTAATTTTAAAGAAAATAATAATTTGAAAAATAAATTTCACATTATTTTGCTTTGTATTTTTTTTTTAATATTTTATTTTATAAGTAATTTTGATTTATCATGAACATCACAACCTCTTCCCTCCACACAGAACAAAAAACAATATAAAGAACAGATCTCACAAAAACAGCAAAGTTTATTTCATTTTTTTAATAAGTCGTATTTTCATCTGAATGGAAAGCATTGGCATTTTGCGGGGACGCAAGGGTAACATGAAAACATGAAAGTATTGGAGGACATTCAGTTTGACAAAATTAAAGACACTGACACCATGAACTGATGAAGAAAAGACAGATATTGGTTCATAAAGATTCAACAGACTGTGGAAAATACAGTGTTTGATGCTCAAAATTCTCTGACAGAGCTGAAATCCCCCATTTCATCGTGTGTCTCTTTGTAGGTGTTTGGGTCTGTTTATTTGTTTACTTGGATCCCCATTCGTCACTACGAGGGTTGCAACTACTCTTCCTGGGGTCCACACAAGGAAAACATGACTTCATAGAGTAAAATAAATGTCTGATTAAAAAATCCGTGGCAAAAACAAACAAAATACAACCAGAAAACTACAAAACAAAAATGAAAAACAAACAAAACAAAACGACAACAAACTGACAAAACCAATAGATTAAACGCAAAACAGTCAGAAATTGTCAGGAAAAAAAATAATAATTTGAAGTAACTTTGTAACTACTGTTGTTGTTTTGTTGCTTTGTAGCCATTTTGTGTATCTTTGTGATTGTTTTCTGTCTTGTAGATGTTTGAGTCTCTCTGAGTAATTTTGCGTCATTGAGGAAACTTTTATTGGTGGTTTTATTGGTCTGTAGTCAATGTTTGTCTCTTTGTGGTTGTTTTGTGTCTCTTTGTAGCTACTTTGTGTCTCTTTGTGGTTGTTTTGTGTATCTTTGTAGCCACGTAGTGTCTTGTTGTGTTTTGTGTTGGTTTGTAGTTCTGAGGGTCTTAGTTTGTGTCTCGTTAAGATACGTTTGTTGGTTGTTTTTTGTTGCTTTGTGGTCATTGTATGTGTCTTTGTGGTTGTTTTCTGTCTCTTTGTAGTTTTTTGGGTTCTTTGGGGTAATTTTGTGTATAATCGCGGTAACTTTTTCACTTTTTATGGTTGTTTTGTCACTGTTTTTCTCTCCCTGGTTATTTTATGTCTCTTTGTAGTCATCTTTTGTCTCCTTGTGGTCATTTTGTCTCTTTGTAGTCATCTTTTGTCTCCTTGTGGTCATTTTGTCTCTTTGTAGTCATCTTTTGTCTCCTTGTGGTCATTTTGTGTCTCTTTGCAGTTTCTTTGCGTCTCTTTTGTGGTCTTTTTGTCTCTTCCTGGTTGGTAGATGTTAATTTGAGTGACACTTTCCAAGTGATGGCCAGGTGGCCCTCTCTGACACTTTGGGCACCCAGGCCTGTGCCTGATCGGCCCGCTCAGTAATTCATACACGTCCACCACTGTGTGAAACTGTAAGAAAACACAGTAACTTCCACCAGTCCAGAGAAACAGGAAGTGAAGTCAGTGACCCCGACACACATATTTCAACATTTTATTCTCTCACACTCAGCTGATGAACTTTATGACCAGTTTAATGTTGCGAACCAGTCTGGTGATACACACTTACTCATGACTCGTGTGTATGTTTGTGTGTGTGTGTGTGTATGTTTGTGTGTGTGTGTGTGTGTGTGTGTCCTGCCTGTTGGCACCCAGGGCGGAGGATAACTTTGCTGCCTTGGCCGGCGGCTCTGAGCTTCCATTGAGTGAACAGTCCAGGTGGACCCGCCCGTCCCGTCGCGTCCCCGCTGTGCCCAACAGAATGGACACACACACACACACACACCCTCACCCTCCACCTTGCCCAGTGCCATCTTTGGGGGTGGATATAAATATCTGTGAGGGGACGAGGCATGTGTGTGCGCGTGTGTGTGTAGCAATAAATCTGATCTGCAGGTTGCTTCCAGTTTTACTGATTTTATCAGATCAGACAGGAAAGTGAAATTAATCTAAATCTGCTGATGCTGTGTTCAGCTTGATTTGCATTTCTGTGCAGTTTCACATTCTTGACATTATTATTTTTGCCACCAGAGGGCAGTAAACCCCTAAAAATCATTTCTAGAAGGTTTTATTTTCTTGCAAAACTTTGAAGATTTCCAGCCTGAAGTGTTTCTCCATTGTGAAGCATGCTAAACATAAGATATGCAGTCATTTCTGGAGGTCAAAGGTCACCTCTCTGCAGGGCTAAACTTGCAACAGGAAGTCAAAGTGTGAGGGATTTCTCAGATATACTCTCAGACAAACACCCAAAGAAAAGCAGCCTGAGAGAATCACACAGGGATCACAGCTATGTCAACAAACATCAACAGAGGAGCGCGCTCGCTGCTCCTGCTGCTGCGTCCTAATAAGTCATAAGAAGTCAGCGCTGGGCTGTGCACAGGCAGGAGGAGTCAGTGAGAGGCTGGCAGAGAGGAATCCTAATTGGTCTGGAGCTAATGCGGCTTCAGTAATCTTTTAATCCTCATTTCCTCCCGGCCCCCGCCACCCTGACCCCGCTGGCCGTGAACTTGTCTGGCCCCTGTAGCAAAGTCAAATGCTCCTCAGGTGCAGCGAGGAAACCTGAGGGAGCATCAGCAAACTGAAACCATCTCACAGATGCATCATAACACGACACCATAGAACACAAATGTCATAAAACGTTTTGAACGCTGTGTGACTGCGTCGTCTTTTATTGGATCTATTTCAGGTAACGTCCTGTGGTGGCCACGCTGGAGGTCCTCAGCTCTGTGAGCAGCTGTTAACAGGGGATTATGGGTACAAGGAGATGGACGCAGTGCTGCAGACTGAGTAGATACAAAAGGTGAGGACATTCATTTGAACACACCAGGTACAAAAATGTAAAGAAGAGTCAATGAATCCTGCAAAGCTTCCTAATCACAGAGCAGGTTATTAACTGTCATATAATCCATCCTTTAGCCACTACAGTAATTTAAAGGGACACTTCACCCCCCACATGACCGCTTGTATATCAGTTACTCAGCCTGTGTTCAGTTGAATTTGTGAAGAAAACTTTGTTTTTCTCCAGTGTCTCCACGGCGAACGAAAAATCCAAAAACAGAGAAAAGTCTTGATGAATTGAAGTCATTGGGGTCCAACAGCAAAACTGTATCAAACCATCTGCTTACAACTTCTCACACACTTCTCATTTATCCAGGTGTATGCTCAGTACTTCCCAAACAGACGTCTCTTTCCAACGAAGAACTGAACTGCAAGTAAAAATTACCTGTTCTCTCTTCAAAGCCAGTTTTATCTTGCCAAACATGTCACCTGCTGATCTACTGCCCGAATGTTTGGCCGTTTTGCCGGCAAGCTGCGAGCGTTGGCGAGTTGATCTGAGGTGCCCAATTTTCCGCTTCGTAGGGTAGACATATTGGCGGTACCCTTCTAGATTGAACAGACCGAGGCGGCCTTCCGCAACAGGAGGGGCTGTTGATGACGCCTCACGGTGGTGGATAAACAGGAAACAGCTGATAGCAGGAATTAGCGAGCAGCTAGTAGCAAGAGGGAAACACAAACCTGACAGACACTGTAAAGATGAGCAACTGGGGAGACAAGGAATTGTGCGCCCTCCTTGTCCTCGCAAACGAAGAGGCCATTAACCGTCAGATGACGGGGACGGTTAAGAACGGGCCGACTTATGAGAGAATCGCCGCCTGACTTCCCTTCCCTCTTGCTACTAGCTGCTCGCTAATTCCTGCTATCAGCTGTTTCCTGTTTATCCACCGCCAGTGGCTCACACGTGCGGCGTCATCAACAGCTCCTCCCACAAGTCATCAACAGCCCCTCCCATTGCAGAAGGCCGCCTCGGTCTGTTTAAACCAAAAGGGTTCCACCAATATGTCTACCCTACGAGGCGGAAAATTGGGCACCTCGGATCAACTCGCCAATCCGGCTCTGTGTGTCTAAACGCTCGCAGCTTGCCGGCAAAACGGCCCAACATTCGCCGAAAATCTGGCAGTGTGAAAGGGGCTAATAATCAGACGGGGACAGTGAAGAATGGGCCGATTTACGAGAGAATCGCTGCAGCTTCCCTCCCACGTCACTGTTTACGTCACATGCTGAGCTACACGTTTTGTTACTTGCTCACGCCCCCCATTGCCCCGAAAAAGGCGCATTCTGTATAAACAAAAGTAGGTAGGCGGCATTTTGCTGCACTCCCCGATTTTGTTTTTATACTGCCAATGCTGAAAAAAGACTGATTGGGCTTTCCTGCAGATTTGCACAACTCCTGTTTAAAAAGGGCTACTGATTCCTGTCCTTGACGGGGCCCCATGCCACAAGGCCCCGGCCACCAGACGCTTGCTGGCGAGGTACTCCCCCAGGTAGCCCTGGTGTTTCTGTACCGGGCGAGGTAGTTGATGTCCAAATATGCCAAGTCATCAAGGTCTTCTTGACGACCTGGGTACCTCCTGTTAGAAGTGTTTGGGCATGTCGCACTGGTAGGAGGCCCTGGGGCAGACCCAGAAAAGTTGGAGGGACTACAAATGTCATCTGGCCAGATGAGGTGGGACGTTTGGGGTGCTTTGCTAGGCCTGCTGCCCCCGTGACCCAGCCCCAGATACGCGGTTGAAATGAGATGATAGTGCGCGAGTTGTGTTGGAGTTCGTAAACAGATGTTTTGATATAGTTTAGCTGTTGTTAAATGTGCTCCCCTTTGACTTCAGGGCATTAAGAGTTTTTTGGATTCTTCATTCACTCTGGAAACATGCTAGAAAAACAAAGTTTTCTTCACAAATTCAGCGTAACACAGAGTGAGTAACTGATGCTCAAATGATCATTTGTGGGGTGGAGTATTCCTTTAAAAGAAATGAGAGCAAGTCAAAACCTTTGAAGGATCTTTATTTGTTTTCTTACAAAACAGCCAATAAACATCGCTTTAATAAGAAATAACATCGATTACACAGTGGTTAAGATATATACAGCAGGAAATATGCGACAATATAAAACAACCAAATAAATAAATACTCGTACAGAGGTTTGGGTTTGTGGTGTGGGACCTGAACATGAACATGAACATGATGGCGTTCACAGTAAACTCAGATTGAAATAGCTGCTTGTGAAGTCCTGGTGAAAATGTGATGCAATGCTGGGATGCAGAATGGTGAGGTCATGATCTCCTGTCTGCAGAACGTAGCGTTGTGGAGTCTTTATCTCTGTCAATATCTCTGTTAATGAAATCTACCTGGCAACAACCACTGTAGCTGCAGATGTGTAGCAGAACTGCAGGACAAAGGTAGTTTATTAAGAAATAGCTGCACCTGTATAACTTCTAGATACTTCCTGCCTCTTAAAGCACAATGTCTCGTTTTTACAGATGTATTTTTTGCATGTTATCACGTTATAAAAACCTAAACTTCCCCCTGCTGTGAGATTATTTAGCTAAGATAGAAGCTTCCTCTGCTTTGTTTCCCAGTGATGAGACACTTTGGGTTTCCTTCTGTGCCGATGGCTCTGGTTCACCTGGAGGTTTGATCGCTGCTGATTGGACTCCAATTGTTTGGTGTTTGTCGGCTGTGAGTGGGTCTCAACCGTGGGAAATAGGGAGCTGAAAAAAGAAGACAGTTTCAGTATGACTGATACAGATCCACAAATTAAAGACAAAGGATATTAAAAACACATCAAATTGGACAGATAAAATGTTTTTTATGTTCTTATGTTTATCAAGGTTCTGTGATGGTACATAAGGGCCACTGTAGGTTAAAAAATAGGAAGCTGGGGGAGATGGGTAATATTCCAAGACAAAAAGTTGTAAATTTATGGAAAAAAAACCTCACAAATTTACAAAAAATATTTAATATTATCTGAGACTATAAAGTCGTAAATATATGAGAAAAAACAAACTCAGTAATTTATGAAAAACATTCGAATAGCCTCTGAAATTATAAAGTCGTAAATTTGTGAGAAAAAACTCAAATTCCTGAAAAAAAAAATCTTAGATATTCTCTGAGATTATACAGTCATACATTTATGAGGGAAAAAACTCACAAATTTACAAAAAAATATCTTGAATATTCTCTGACATTATGAAGTTGTAAATTTACTAGAAAAAAGTAAAAAAAAAAAGTACCTTTAAGTCCCAAATTTACAGGAATAAAACTCAGATATTTATGAAAATAAACCTTGAATCTTCTCTGAGATTATAAAATTGTAAAATTACAAAAAAACTCAGAAATTTACAAAAACATATCTTCAATATTCTATTAGACCATATAGTTTAAAATTTCCAAGAAAAAAAAAATGCAGAAATTCTTGAATATTCTCTGAGATTATAAAGTTGTAAATTTATGAGAAAAAACTCAGAAATTTACGAAATTTACTAATTTACAAACATAAATTTACAGGAATAAAACTCAGAAATTTATGAAAAAAACCCTTTTAATATTCTCTGAGATTATAAAGTCGTAAATTTACGAGGAAAAAACTAACAAATTTACAAAAAAATATCTTGAATATTCTCTTAGACCATATAGTTAAAAATGTACGAGAAAAAACCCCGCAGAAATTCTTGAATATTCTCTGAGATTATACAGTCATACATTTATGAGGGAAAAAACTCACAAATTTACAAAAAAATATCTTGAATATTCTCTGAGATTATTAAGTTGTAAATTTACTAGAAAAAA